TCTTGTGGGTAATTATTGATGGAAAATATGTCCCTACTTTGAGCCATATGTCCTCTGTTACACTCATAACAGTCATGTGTCTGACAAGACCTTAACACAAGCAAAAGAAGAAAATAATCTGAATTTTTTATAACACATTTTACAGATAAGTAGTACTGCTATTATCCTCTTCAAGTCCAGCTAGGAAAATAAAAGTTTCAGCTCACAATATGTCAAAGGTGTGTTTGCATGGCCAGGTTTTGAGGGGGCCACAGGGGTGTGTTCTGTGAAGAGCTACTAGAAGTTTCTCCCGTGGCTTCTGATAGAGCCAGTGTCAGACAGCTCCAAGATGGACCCACTGCTGGCAAAGGCTCAGCCTGTCAGTGACAGGGTGACAGTGACAGTGCCTGTGGGATAAGATATTACAAAAGGGGAAAAAGTCTGCACAACAACTTCAGTTGAAAAATTGAATGGGAGTGAAGGCAACAGCTCTGCAGACCCCAAAACCAGCAAAGAAAGAGGAGGAGCTGCTCCAGGCACTGACCAGAGCAGAGATCCCCCTGCAGACCATGGTGAGGCAGCTGTGCCCCTGCAGCCAGGGAGGTCCATGGGGAGCAGAGATCCACCACAGCCCGTGCAGAGCAGGTGGGTGCCCAAAGGAGGCTGTGACCCTGTGGGAAGCCTGTGCTGGAGCAGGCTCCTGTGAGGATCTGTGGATCCATGGAGAGAGGAGCCCACAGCAGAGCAGGTTTGCTGGCAGGACTTTGACCCCTCAGGAGACCTCCACTGGAGCAGTCTGTGACTGAAGGACTGCAGCCCAAGGAAGGGACCCATTGGAGCAGTTCATGAAGAATTAAAGCCCATGGGAATAAGTCATATTGGAGAAGTTTGTGGAGGACTGTCTCCCATAGGAGGGACCCCACATCGGAGCAGAGGAAGCATATAAGGAGCATATATCTCCCCTGAGGAGGAAGGAACAGAGAGACTTGTGATGAACTGACCACCATCCCCATTCCTCATTCCCTGATGTCACTGAGGTGGAGAAGGCAGAGAATCGGGATTTAAACTGGGGAAGAAGGTTTAATATTTGGCTCTATTTCTTATTATACTGCTCTTTTTTGGTAATAATTCAAGGCTACCTTGCCTGTGATGGTAATTGCTGAGTGATCTCTCCCTGTGTCTATTTGGACCCATGAACCTTTTGTTATGTTTTGTCTCTCCTGTTCAGCTGAGGAGGAGAGCAACAGAGTGGCTTTGGTGGACAACTGATGTTCATCTAGGGTCAATCCACCACAAAAGGAATTGGATTATGTTTGTATGTTCATGTGGGCTTTTACTAAAGTGAAACACAACATGAGCCTCTTGTGATAACAGTGACATGTAAGATGAATGTAAGATAGAGTAGTCAAAAAAGTGTTTGATGTATGAGGCTAAGGATGGACACCTCTGTAATGATTCAGCTAATGAGCCTTGTTTTATTCATCTGATGTTATGGCTGCCAGGGATGTATCAGTTGTATGACATTTTAGTGACCTTTCAGGCACAGCCAGGATAAAATGCTTGCAGAAAGGGCAGCCTGCTGCATGCTTTAAGAAACTAGCTCAGAGTCCACAGGGAGCTTTTAGCACAGTCTGGACACCACGGGGTTTGCAGTGCTGAGAAGCAGCTGCCATGAAGAAACCTTGCTGCAAACAAATTGATGAAATCCTTTTGTATTGGAGTTCACTTTCTATTACCTCCCTTCACCCACCTTGCAAAGCTTGTTGTTGCTTGTGAGAAGCCATTGTACGTCTCCAGTGAGGTCATGGTCGTACTTGCTGTCCTGCCATCATTTGGTTACACACATGGGAACTTCTATAGTGAGCTCAACACAGAAATGTCTCTACGACCTTGTTTTGTTTGTAACTTGGCAATCTGGCTTACTAACACTCTGTGCTTGCTCTGTACAGCAGGGCAAAGCCGCAGTGCACAAGAGGTATTCAGCACGCACCTTTCCCTCATGCTCCCACAAAATCATTTTGCTCAAAGAAGTCTTTTTCTTAACACATTGGTTTAGCTTTCTGAAAACAGCCCTGAAGACAAGCTTTTGCCCCACATCTGCAATGCAGAGTGTGTATGCTTGCAGCCTGCTAATAAGGTTTTACAGGTTGCCTGAAAAAAAATGTTCTGTGAAAGTACAGAAGAAATGCAAAGCTGGACAAATGAGTATAAGCAATATCCCTAAAGTGACATGAGTTGACAACAGCAAAGCACTTGATCCAACACAAGCATTTTCTGACTTGTGTTGTCAGGGATCAAGAGTAACAAAAAGAGAAGAAAATTGGGCAAACAACAAACCATATCTGCAGCAAACCATACATCCAACCTTTTTTTCTGCAATCTTTGTATTTGAATAGAGAGGGGGTTTTCCTCCCAGCCTAGCACTTCACTAAAAAATATCCTTCATTTTCTGCCTGTAAACTTAGTATGTTTCCAAAGACATGATAACATTTTGATAAAGGTATTCTGATGGTTACAGACATTGATTAAGTGGAAAGCAACAAACAGCATTTGTTTTGACTTTAGCAAGATTTTGACATTCTAAAAGGTTTGTGAGAAGTTTAGGAAAGTACTGTCCAGATGCAGTCAGCATAGGTGGCGTGCAGAACTGTATAAAATTCTATTTGAAATGTAGTTATAAAGCAGATTGGACATTTCAGATGGGATCCCCCTGGACCCTCAGCTAGGGAAATAATTCTCTTCATTATTTTTATTAACAACAATGAGGGTAGAAGAGAGAACATGTGTAAGAAATGTAAGATTAAACTAGACTGGGAAGGGTACAAGCACTTGTGAATATAGGATTAGAAGTCAAAATAATCTTGAGAAGTGGCTTGAAATCAAGAAGGTGAAATTCAGTACAGACAAGTGCAAAAGAGCTCCTGTGGGGAAGAATCAATCATCTTCAAATAAAATATGGGCTAGGCTAGGTTACAGTTAGTGTCAAAACAAAAAAGAAAGAGATGATTATTAGGCGTTTGTGCGATGCTGTTGATAAAGAAAATTGGAAACCAAATGCAAATGACAAAAAACAACAACAACAAAAACAAGAAGAAAAAAAATCCCAAACAAATATACAAAACCCCAAAACCCACTGAATTATTTCAGCTAATGAACAGAAGACTGTATGGCAGTTGTCCCAGCTAGTCCTGATTTGTGCACCTCACTGTAAGAAAAAAAAATAAGTAAACTGAGGAAGGATCTTCAGGCTTCAAAATGTAGAGGCTTGGACAACATGATCTGTGAGAAAAATTTGAAATAACTAGGTTTACTTAAGCCTGAAAACAATGGATAGCATTAAATTCTTTTTTAAAAGGTTTAAAAACAGTTATAAGATAAAAAATTGCTCCTTTTTCTTCATATCCATAGGGAGAAAAGGCCAAAATATAGATAAGTAGTTAATTTGCAGGAAATTACATTTAAATTAGACATTAGGAAATTAGGCACAGGGAAAAGCAACACAGAAAGGCTATAGAATCTCCTTCATTAGATATGTCAGGGATTCATTTAGTAACATATCTTTCTGGGATAGGAATACACATAATGCTGCTACAAGGCACAGAACTGGCTGAATTATTTCTGCAGGGGCCACTCTTGCCAGCAAAGAATGACTTTCCGACAGATTCAACATGTGTGCAGTTGCAATGGAGACATACTGTATCCAGGCAGTCCAGTGTTTTGGTAGCTTTTTGCTTCCAGAGTAAGTGGTAATGGAGGAGTACAAGAATTTGATTCTTTGGTAAATGTCTGGAACGGCTCAAACTGAATTGATAAGTGTGACTAAGTGTGGCACAAATTGAGGGGTGCCTTAGTATTAAAACAACTTTATAAATATAAGTGTTAAGGAGTCCAGCCAGTGGAAGTTCTCAAACCATGTAAATTTAATTTTTGTTGTTTGTGACTGTAACTGCATTTTAGATCTACAAGAAGTTGTTGTATAAGAAATAGCCTTTTTTTTTCTTTTTTCTTTTTTTTTTTTTTTTTTTGCTTTTAGTGTGCACAGAGCCAGTCTGTCAGTAGGAGTGACCAGACATGTGAAAAATGCACTTCCATACCTGCACTCTTTGGCCCTTTTCTATCAAAGTAAAGTCCAATTCAGATCTGTGATGTAAGAGACAATATTTCAGGGATGAGAACTGCCCCCTAATGACCTCTATAAGCCAATAGTTGAGTCTCCTGGGACAAAGGAAGCAAAGGGCACCCTTTTACCTGTGCAAAGCACGTGTTTTAGCAGAGATATAGGGGTCTTGGGCTCAGACGAGATTGAATTTTCCTGGAAATTGTTTAAAACAAACATGAGAAGGCCATCAGGAGCTGGCAATTGTGTGAATTAATAAATAACTCCCACAGTACAACCTTCTTGCAGACCTTCAGCATCTTGAGAGAAATGCAGGTTTCCTTACATCTGTGAAGTTTCATCTCTGAAGCTCAGATAAATTGTTCCAACTCTCTGTTCATGCATTTCAACCCAAATGTCAAAACAGGGAATCAGAGAAACTGCTGTCTCTCAGACAGAGTTGGATCAACGTACTCCCTCCTCTACATCCTCTACTGAGCCATGGTATGACAGCAAGCCAGCCACAGTAATCACAGTCAGAAGCAAAGTATACATGCCAATAAATAAATGGTTTTCATCATTTGTAATGTCTAAATAGCATGTTGTTTTGTATTAGTGAGGTGGTCTACTTGAAAAAGAGGGATGTGTGGTTACTTCTGGTGGAAAGATGGTTGTTATAAATCTTTTACTGTTTTTATGTGGTTTTAAAATTGAATGGATTTTAAAAGTAAAGGAAAATAAAAAAGGTACTTTGTCTTTCCTTACTTTTTTACTGTTTTTCTGTATCTTCCCAATTAGCCGGTCTAATATTAACAGATATTAGAGGACCAGTCAAAAATAATCTGTGTACTGGGTGGTTCTTGAATGATAGTGCCTATCAGTTCTGGAAAGGTGTTGCTAATGAAAGCAATTTCTCCCCTTTCAGTTGATTTCATAGGTGGATTTGACTCTTACGGCTATCAAGGTCCACAGAAGACATCTCATTTACAGCTGCAGCCCATGTATATGTAAGTACTTAACTTCTAGGATATTTGGCAGAGTGGCAGCCTGATATTAAGGGATCGTTAAGCTGAAAGATGGTATGACTTAAAAATTCAGAATAGGCAGAAGCCTCTTTTGATGGACTGAATTCAAGTTACACTTAAGCACCAACATTACTCGTGTTGAATTATAATGATTTCTTAGGGCAGGATATCATGTGTCACAGTTGTTCAAACAGCATGTAAGTCTCACCTGATATTTCCCTATTTTCATTCAAGGATGTTCCACTCAGAGACAGTGACAATTTAGTGTAGAAAAAACACATCGTATATGACAAACCTTGGCTGTGAAAAAAGTGGATTTTTATGAAGTTTCATCAAAAGTTCAGCAACTTGCTAATTTAGTGGATGCATTTAGCATTTGTCTTACCAGAGCATCTGTTCACCAAGGCACCTCTGTACCTCATTTCCAGTTTCCACATTTAAAAAAGACAAAACAAATGTAACAACATATGGTTTTAAAACTAGTTTGAAGAGAAGACAGTATTTTACCTAACCATTGAGTGACAACTCCATCTTAGAGTGCAGTCTGATATATTTGGGAATTAAATGTATAAACAAATCTCAGCTCATACACACAACTGGAGTATATCCACACTAGAGCTGACACACAACCATAGACCAGCCCAGGAATAATTGTCTCTAAATATTTCTTGTACTGATGTCAACTGAAATGCAGAACAGTCCTAAATGCCCAGATAAATCTTACCTCACTGCTTCAGCCTTTGGAAATATTTTTTTATTTGCCATCAATGCCCTACACAGTAAAAGCACAGCACCACACAACTCATAAAGGGGCAACAGTTACATTTTTTCCTTTGTTTCTCTTCTGAACATTTCTTTTGTGGAAAAGCACTAAGTTCAAAAAGCAGTAGCCATCCCAACACACAATTCTATTCAGCTTTGAATGCAATTTAATTTCTTCTGATTAGTGGAAGCAAGTCTACTAATGGATTAGTGTATTTTTGCATGGAATCTTGCATTTACTTTATCAGTGGTACAATCTGTTCTGTGTTGGTGTTTGGAACTGGGCCCTTCAGGAGCTTTGCTAGCAGCTTTTTAATAATCTCAAATTACAATAGTGCATATCTCCAATGTCGTCTTAACTTCAGTTTCCCATCTGTCTGTGCTCAAGTAAATATTTTTCACCTGCACTTTTGGCACAGTGCTGCACATTTAGAAAATGTTATTTCCTTCATAGTATTATATCAGGTACATAGGTACTTAGAACAATTCTAATCCTATCTCTTTCTCATTATACCATACCTTGTCATCAACATATGGAGCCCTCTAGCTATTATCCCATTCTCTTTATGCCCTCGGTGTTTCTTCCAGAACAGCAGATTGCATTTACTATGCATCTTCATACTGACTGGAAAGAAAGCTAGACCTGTGAAAAAAGGAAAAAAAAAAAACAAACCAGAAGGCAATAGTTTTAAGCCTGTAGCTTAGATGAAGAGATAGATGATCAATCCATGTAAGTGGTGTTCTCTCTTATTTCAATGCTGCATGCTCGCTGGAGTATAGGTGATTTAGCTGTTTTAACCGAGAGACAGAAATCAGAATGTGAGTGGACATTTTGTCCAATCAACCCACAAAAGTATTGCCATGTCCCAGCCACAGTCAAATAAAGACACTTCATATTTCCCTCTGACTGTATAGCGCTTGACAGGGCTCATGAGGATTGCTACAATCTGTCCTTAAGAAGCTTTTACAGCATTTAGTAATACCTTTCTTTGTTTACAGCTGAGGCACACTAGGCATACATGCATATGTATTCACATTGCAGTTGCTCTGTAAATGTAGGCAGTCCATTAGGTAGCAAAGTGACAAATTTGAATGCCAAGTTAATCAAGTCAAGGTTTGATCTGCTTGTAGCACTATTTACAGCAATATTATGTATTAGAAATCAAAACATGCTGATATGATAACAGCAGGCCATACTTGGTATTTTAAAGATTTATTTGCTGGGAGGAAAGATTTGGTTCCCTACGGAGCTTGTTCCCCAAATATCACCAATGTAAGCCTTCACAGTATTCAAGGAAAGAAAGGAAAAACACAACAGGGAGAGGAGAGGAGAGGAGAGGAGAGGAGAGGAGAGTTCTGCTTTACGTAGTCCCTTGCCATGCTCTCACCGCTTTCCAAGCCGTAATCATATCCGTCCAGGATACAACTATACCCATATATGTCCATATATCTGTATTCATATAACTATTTTCATAATTTTATCAGTTGCTACAAAATGTCTTTGGATTCATAGGCAACAGAAGATATATTAAGCATAATATATAGAAGATATATTATTATCCCATCTAATTCCTGCAAGATCAAGAAGATCAAGAAAAGACAGAGATACTTTTTGCCACCACTGCATCCTGTCCTATTCAGATTCACACTGGGCACATCTCTTATGGAGCTCCGGATTTATTAGAGAAATTGAACAGGAGACAGGTGCCTTTAAATCATCTGATTGCTAATTATATGCAGAGGCACAACAGCAGTTTGTTCTCTGTGCTGTGATATGCTGGGCATGCTGCAAAATAGAAGGAGAGCATATGGCCTCCTCTTTGAAGAGCTCACCAAAACAATATCAGCTTCTAATGGTTGTTCAGATTCTTTCAAAATACAAATTTCAACATGTAGTTCAGTAAAACAGAACAAATAAGCTTCTATGTTTTTACCAGATTGATTCGTACACAGAACTAGTACAAATCTTAAAGACATAGAGAATTTTGTGTTAGGTCTCAATCATTATCCAGGTACTGCTTGCTGATGTGAATTGATTTAGTGGATTGCAATGACAGAAGTCCATCAATAGAAACTTATTTCTTTGGAAGTCAGAAAGTTTTTGATCCAAGTGATGGAAATCAATTTTAACTCCTTTATACATGCACTATTTAACTATTCTTCTGCAGGAATGCTGGGTTTACTAATTGCTAACTGTTAAGACATACTGTTTTGCAACCAGTTTCTTCCTGTGTGATAAAGTTAGGACTTCATTTTTAATGTGGAGATTATATTGAACCTACACAAACTTACATATGCAAATTATATTGATTTATTCAGGCTTCTCATATTTAAATTTCTATTGTGTCAGGACTATTTCATCTAAAGATCTATTATTTTTTATTTGTGATTTTCATCAATCAAGCTCTGCTTTTAAGAACATTCTAATTCAGTTTAAACCCACATAGTCCCTTTGTGTAGTGTTTCATCGGTTATGAAAGACTACCCTAAATGAACAGGATATCAAAGGAAAAGAAAAACCTTGGTTTCTGAAAAAAAAATATTATCTTTAGGTAGTCAATTGAAGTGACTATCTCTGGCTACTCTTACCTTTAATAGTCTAGAATTATTAGATTCAGGTTCACATTGAAGTTTTTTCTCTATGTTTTAGTCTTTAAATTCCAATCACAGTTTTTCCTTATCACCTCTTCCAATTTAATATTTAATTTAAATCAGTTTGCTTTTTAAAGTGAAAAATATATGCAATTTAAATAAATAAAACGCTGATGCTTTGGGGAAGAATTCTTATGGTGACATTTCTCTACCTGTTATAAATGGGATTTTTTTATTATTTAAGTGCCAACAGTGTGCTCTATGCTGTACAAGCCAAGAAGCCTAGACAGTCCCTTCAAAACGAATACGCTTTTTGAACAGAACGGGGCAGATCCGATGCTCATATACCTCCTTGCAGTGTGGCCACAGCTGATGTACTCAAAAGCAGCTTCCTTGGCATTCTGTGCCCGAGATGCCAGGGCTCATTTCCAGACCATGGGAGAAGGACACAATAAGATGCCGGAAATCAATTGTCAAGAAAAAATTCTCCTCTTGGGAGGTGACGGAGGAAGGTGACTAAACACTCCCTGACACTGATTCTGCTGCACATGAAAAAAACCAGTGGTAGTTGTGGAACAAGACTGCACTGCATGATCACTGTTCTAAGAACAGTAGGAAGGAGGGAGGGGAGAGAGATCTTTCTTTATGTTCTTCACCCTAAACTTGTTTGTTTGAGAAAAGAAGAAGTGAAGCAAAAAAAACCCATGCATGTCTGATGTTGATGCCTAATGCACTGGAGAAATTGCTCAAAAGCAGTGCAGCCCTGAAGTGAAGCATGCTTTCCTCCTATTGTGAAGCCTAAGAATATTTGCCATATCTGTACTCCCGTGCACACACACACACACACATATAGGCATTTGTCTGGATAATTGCACATACTGAAAGTCCTACCTACTTCACCATTCCCTTAAAGTATAAAGGAAACACAAAAAACCCCACTAAAACTAGCACCTTGAGTATAACCACCATGACACTCTGCAAGTTCATGCAGTACAAATCTTCTGTGTAATTATCTCCTCATGTTTTGGGATCCAGATACATTTAAATAAGCTACCACCAAAGCTTTCACTATCAACAAACAGCATCTTGTCCATTTTAGACTGAAAGCTTTAGTTATAAAACATGGATTTGGGACAACACTGTTGAGGTGGCCAGGCTATGGCACTTGCACAGGGTCTCCACTTTGTGAGTGAGCCATGGGCGGCTTTCCCCTGCACCTGCAATCCAGCCCTTCTCTCCTCATGCCATGTCACTTCTTGGATTTACAAAGACAGCTACGTATCTGATGGATTTTATAAATCAGGTCACATTCCAGTTGACCCATGGACATACAGTTAAGATTATAATTAAATATAACTCCTGCCTAAGATTGTTTAGAAAACCTGTGCTGACTTCTCTGACAATGTTCCAGAGAGAGCCAGACAGTTACTTGAGTAAACACTTTGTCTTTCTGTCCTTTTCATCCCATGCGTATCTGAGTTGTTACTGGTTTGTGGATTACACTTGATTGCAAAAGGGCACCAGAGCAGCAGGGCAGGGATCAGAAAAGTGTATGTTGGATTATAAGTATTGTTCTTTCTCTGTCTTTCTTCTAGGTCAAAGTAAACATGGGGACTGCTCAAGGTGGGCTGGAGGACCTGTTCAAAAATCTCTTTCCAGGATGGCCTCCTGGTTCTTCAAAGAGAAAAGAAACACAATTTTTGTGCTAAATATAATGTATAAAAGCTGATTGAACAGTGAGACAGAAAACAACAGAGACCTTCAGCCTCTCTTTCTAACAGGTACTAAAGGAGATGCCCCAGACCCACTCCTTGAACCTCCTGCCTCTCAGCACCAGAGGGACACAGCAGAGGCTTTCCAGCCACCTTTTGTCCCTTTCTTTCCCTGGCCACTGCCAGCATGGCCCATCTGGATTAAGACATGAACCCAGCCCACTCAGTGCTGTGGGAGCCTCCTCCACACTCCGGGCCTTGTTGAGTCTCCTCAGTCAACAGAACACTGAAATACCAGGATGACCTTGCAGCAGAAGTCAATAGACAGCGCATTGTTTGCCCTGAAGGCTGTACAGTTCATACTTGCCTTAACCCAACTGCGTTGCACATTAGAGAAACTACGTGCAAGCTTTCTGAAGTTAACATGCTGCTGTTAATTCTGAACGATTTCTAAGCCAGTGGTTTTCTTCTGTTTGGTTTTGCTTTGTTTTCATGTCAGGGAATAAGGCTCTGTTGCTCCATGGCTCCAGAGCAACCAAGTAGAAAACTGCCAGCTGTCTGATAAGTGCTTTACTTTTGGGGCTCCACAGTGGTCAAGAAACAGTTTATAATTATTAAAAATAAAAATAAATAAAGAAATAAATGAAAGCTTTTGGGGGTCAGGGTGGGGAAAGGAGTAACAGAAACTAAAAATTGAACCTACTGGAAATAAGCAGCAGAAACTGTGCTTCTTAATCCCGCTGGTTTTATTTATCGCACTGTAGGTGCTTTTATAGTTATCTCTAAACATCTTTTACTAACTACAGAGACATCTGCAGATTTCTATGAACAAAGGCCAACTGAATATGTACTAGCTATGTTTACTCTTTTATATCTGATTTCAACTAAAAGTTCTCTGTAAGTGAGCTTTTTTTTTTCTAATTGCACCATAAGGGATCCACATATTTTATTTCTTGATTTTGGTTGGAGAGGGCAGGGAGGGACTAGTTGAGTTGAAGAAATACTGAAGACCTTTTTGTGGTATATTTGGGGGATCTGTTGTGTGTTAGAACATGTATTTTATCTTCCTGTATTATTGTGGCTGAAAAAAAAACCTCTGTGCTGTTACGTAGTTGGCAACAAGATGCCTTTGGGAATTTTGCTAGTAGGTCAATGTGTATATGAAATACTCTGAACTCCTAGGAACATATGTTTTATTCTACATCTGATCTGTATTTTCAAGAACGTAGATGGCTTTCACTAGGAAAACCCAATATTTTGCTCAGGTTTTTCAGAAACTTGGATTGTCATTGTTTCTTTGCTCAGACCTTGCATAGACAAACGCACGCACCTACCACACCTGAGGTGACCATGTAGCTTTTGAGGGCAAGAGGGAAGGTCAGCGCTTGGAAATGCTCAAGGCACCCCTGGGCAACTCCCTTTTCCCTGCTGTCCAAACCCTTGCTCCAGAGGCCTGTGTGCTCACACCACTCACCCATCCCTGTACAAGCCAGTGCCCTTTGCTGTGTCTGCATGGATGTACAGTGTCACAAGCAGCAACTCTGGACAATGACAGAGGAACAGGCATTCACCAGTGAAAACAAGATACGGGACATGTTCAGGAACTATACCTACATTGATTCAGTGAGATTTATATAGCTATAGGTAGATATATATATATATATGTAAGTGTGTGAAGGTGTGTGTGTATGTCTATTTATATAAAATACACGGGACTATTTTTGGGGGCTGCATCACCCGGGCAGATTCTGATACAGTGGACCAAGGGTTCCCGTCTCAGATACTGCTGGGAATTTCATGCATGAAATATGAATGTCCCCTAGGCCTGATCCTGTAAAGCATTCATTGCTGATTTGGATCTCAAATTTAAATTTTCATACTTGAGTACCTGAAAGTATGAGATCCTACTGGGTAGAGATGCTTTTCACCCCCAGGAAACTCCATGCAATTTCCAAGTGACAGGCTGAAATTTCCCATAACTTGCAAAACTAAAAAAGTTTCTACTTTTATGTAGTATTAAATATAGCAGATGTACAGTATTAAACACAATGAAGAGGTTTAAATGGGATGAAAATGTCATAACAGGTTATTTTATCTTTCCCTGTATACCAGTTAATCAAAATGATATTTCTATAGAAATCATTTTTTAACAGGAAAAGCAACCAGTTTAGGCACCTAAGTAGCAATCCAATTTTCAGAAGATAATTTTTCATACCTTTCAATGATTTCCCATGGAACAGCAGCTACTGGTAGTTAGGACTTTTAGACGTCAGACGATTTAATGAAGTGTCTACACGTAGCTTATAGGCCTGATTTTAAATTAGAAAATTTTGGCCTTAATTTCTCTGTGTCTTAGTCTTCCCATCCATAATATGGGAATAATATGTGCCTCACAGGCTTTTTGTGAGGTCTGAATTGTTAATGTTTGTAAAATGCTTAGGAAATAGGAAGCACATCTAACTACGACGGATTGCAATATAAATGTGTATTCATATATTACATATAGAGTAGATACACACACTCACATACACACAGTATATATATATATATATATATATATATATATATATATATACACATACATACCTATATGAAGTTGGTATTCATAACCCTGCTTAAGTTGCAGTTAGAGCACCACCATCTAAAAAATTAGGATGGTTGACTACTCAACTAAATGATTAGTGGACAGATCTCTTCTGGAAGCAGTTTAGAGCACAGTAATGTGAGAATATCTGGATGGCATTTTTGATTTGTACAGCTGTATCCTCCTCAAAATCCAGTAAAGAATGTTATTTTTCTAGGCTGGGCTTTTGTTATAAACTAAAATATTCAGAAGGCAAGAGATACAATCCAAATGTGTCTTTTTTTCTTTTCTTTTTGGCATTTGTTAATTCTGAATGTATTTTTAACAAAAGTGATTTTTTTGACTTACTAGTGTAATTTGCATTTTAAAAAAAATAAATGGAAAAAATATAGGTTTCCAAGCTATTCATGGCCCCCTGCTGCTATTCAGAACTTACAGGAAACTCAGAATTACTCTTCCCAGCTGAGCAACAATACAGGATAAAGAATCCTATTACATTTACATGATGACAATCCCGATCTGTGCAGTGCATGGATGTGACAGCACTGAATAGAAATTGCCGGGTCATGACACCATTTTAACACTGTCATATGTACCAGGTATTTTCATTATCACTGACACTAAAAGGTTTCTTTTACAAGGCTGACTGCAACAGACTCTTTACTTAGAAAACAGGGCTGGTTTTGCCCACTCATCAGGAATTTTAAGCCCATGATAGGTATAGAGTTGACAACACTGTTAAGTATTGCAAAAATAATACTTGTTAAGAAGCTAAGTAACATGGTATTCTTTTATATGCTATTTATTGTCACTACACTGAAATTATGGAATCCTGTCTTAGGCAAAAGGTTTATAGAGCTCACATATATTGACAGCTTGCCTGAGGTCATTTAATAAAGGTGGAGCAGAATGATATACATTTTGAGATACTTGGTCATGCTCTCTTAGGATGACTCCTTAGAGAGTTATTTCATTAGGATTTTTTATGTCTTCATAACAGTGCAAGTGATATTTTTCAGTCAGGTAAGGAGAAATGGTTTGTGCTCCACTTGCTTAATCTAAGTACTGTTTACAATACTCCAGTGCTGCACAGCATTTTGACGAAGTCTGGCATAGTTATGTATTGATTGCTGGATGTCTCCAGATAGGAATGGCTATTAACTCAGTGTCTGAAGCCTTTCATCACCTGCATGCTCACCTTCCATTTGAGCACACTGGTAGTAGACAAAGCAAAACTTCACACTCTGTGAATCACTCCACCTTGTAATATTTTCATTTCCAGCCTTCTGTTTTATTTTTAAATGCAAATACTAAGAGGAGGAGGACTTTTCTCACAAAGATGGAAAGCCCCATTAATAGTGTGTGTATTTCTTCCTGACTGTCTACCAATGAATAGCTGAGAAGAAAGTGATGGACTTCTGGAGTTTGTTTTCCAGCTATTCCAAATCTGGCTTCTTCCCAGTACATTTGGATTGACAGCAGACACTAAAGGTAAGCCAGGTGTTGTTGAAGAACCAATACACAGCAATACTGCAGACAACACTGTGTCCACTGCTCCTTGGAGAAAGATGAAGACAGTTGTTAAGCTAATTGGTCTGCTTCAAGCTATGTGCAGTATTAAATGCAATTACAATGCATAAAAGAAACTTCCCCTTAGACTGCAATTACTCATTCACATACAGGAGTGGCACAGCACAGAATCAATCAGTAAAAGAGATTTTCCTCCTGTAGTCACCAATATGCTTCATCTCCTGACATGGATTGGAGAAATCAGCTCTGTTTTATCTCATGTCCTGACAAGTCCCTCTGTTCAGACCTTCATCAAGAGAAGCAATTACAGCTAGTTAAAGGTGAGACCTTGGCATAGCTGAGTGGTTTAGGAAGATACTGTACCAAATATGAAGTTCTAAGTAGCACCATACATACATTTGCTGCACAGCTCTCTCCATATGTACAAAAGAAGGATCTTTTAAAAATGCACTTTTCCTTTGTCTCTCAGAAACCAATTGAAACAGATTATGTCTTTTACAAGTGTCTTCCAAAATCCTGCCAAGATCACAAAAGACATTTTTTTAATTGAAATTCCAATAAAAGCACCAATTTTTCTACTCTCTGTTGAGTAGAAGACCTAGCTCTTGGGACTTCCAAATGCCTTGGGATTATTATTTTGGATAGATAGAAGCACTATGAAACATGAGAATTAAAAAATAAATAACGCTTGTGGTCATCTCTGATTCAAAATTAAATCTCTACAAATGCCATGCTTCTCCATCCACCAATGAAAAAGGGTCCTTATTGCCATCTGGTACCTTATCATTTTCCCAGCTTTGATTTGTCCTGATGGGAAATAGGTTATGGGGAGCTTAAGGTGAGGAAGCATGTTCACATTCAGCATGTACTCTCCAACAACCTCCAGTTCTGCCACAGAGATGTTTCACACCTAGTTAATTATTTTCTCTCTGTCACCATCTTCTAGTTCCATTCTCACTATCTCTTCCTGAACACAATCCCACATACCCTCCCAAAATTACATACTGCTCTTTGTTACACCCATTGTTTCCAACTCACATCAAGGTGGCAATGGCAGTCGTGGAGGATAGTGTCACTGAGGATATGTGCAAAAGGACAAGAAGAGGAAGCACAAAGTTATGTACATTCTCAAAAAGCCCCAGACAGGGAGACATTTAACAGAATGGTAAAGGTTGGCAGGACTACAGAAGCCATGAGACAAAGCAAGTCCTGGTAGTAATCATTAGCACATGTGCAATTCCATTTGCTAAAGCTATAGCTCACTGAGTACACAGAAAGTCATAAATATCCAGAGCCACAAAAGGCACAGGTGAATTAGAAGAAATTGACAAAAATATGTTTGTGAACACATTTACTGGATTAGATTCACA